TAAGAGGTTATTGGAACTCATAGAAGATTTTGGCAAAGTAGCAGGGTATAAAATCAATGCACAAAAATCAACAGCCTTTGTATACACAGGCAATGCCACGGCTGAGGAAGAACTTCTAAGATCAATCCCATTCACAATAGCTACAAAAACAATCAAATACCTTGGAATAAATTTAACCAAGGATGTTAAGGATCTCTACGATGAAAATTACAAAACCTTAAAGAAAGAAATAGAAGAGAATACCAAGAAATGGAAAAATCTTCCATGCTCATGGATTGGAAGAATCAACATCATCAAAATGTCCATTCTCCCAAAAGCAATTTATAGATTCAATGCAAACCCAATGAAGATACCAAAGACATTCTTCTCAGATCTGGAAAAAATGATGCTGAAAATCATATGGAGGCACAGGAAACCTCGAATAGCTAAAGCAATCTTGTACAACAAAAACAAAGCTGGTGGCATCACAATACCAAATTTCAGGACATACTACAGGGCAGTTGTAATCAAAACAGCTTGGTACTGGTACAGAAACAGATGGATAGACCAATGGAACAGAATTGAAACACCAGAAATCAACCCAAACATCTACAGCCAAATTATATTTGACCAAGGATCTAAAACCAATCCCTGGAGCAAGGACAGTCTATTCAATAAATGGTGCTGGGAAATTGGATTTCCACGTGCAGAAGCATGAAGCAAGACCCCTACCTTTCACCTTACACAAAAATCCACTCAACATGGATTAAAGACCTAAATTTACGAATTCACACCATCAAGTTTATTAGAGAACAGTGGATAAACCCTGCAAGATATTGGCACAGACAAAGAGTTTCTGGAAAAGACCTGGGAGGCACAGGCAGTCAAAGCCAAAATCAACTATTGGGATTTCATCAAATTGAGAAGTTTCTGTACTGCAAAAGAAACAGTCAGGAGAGTGAGAGACAACCGACAGAATGGGAAAAAATATTTGCAAACCATGCAACAGATAAAGGGTTAATAACCAGAATCTACAAAGAGATCAAGAAACTCAACAACAACAACAACAACAACAACAAAAAAACCAGCAACACACTTAAGAGATGGACCAAGGACCTCAATAGACATTTTTCAAAAGAGGAAATCCAAATGGCCAACTGACACATGAAAAAATGTTCAAGATCACTAGCCATCGTGGAAATGCAAATCAAAACCACAATGAGGTTTCACCTCACCCCGGTTAGAATGGCTCACATACAGAAATCTACCAACAACAGATGCTGGCGAGGATGTGGGGAAAAAGGGACACTAACCCACTGTTGGTGGGAATGCAAACTGGTCAAGCCACTATGGAAGTCAGTCTGGAGATTCCTCAGAAACCTGAAGATAACCCTACCATTCAACCCAGCCATCCCATTCCTTGGAATTTACCCAAAGGAATTAAAAAAAAAAAAAAAGGAATTTAAATTGTCAAACAAAAAAGCGGTTTGCACCCTAATGTTTATTGCAACTCAATTCACAATAGCCAAGCCCTGGAACCAACCTAAATGCCCATCAACAGTAGACTGGATAAAGAAATTATGGGATATGTACTCTATAGAATAATATACAGCAGTCAAAAACAATGAAATCCAGTCATTTGCAACAAAATGGAGGAATCTGGAACACATCATGCTGAGTGAAATAAGCCAGTCCCAAAGGGACAAATATAATATGTTCTCCCTGATCGGTGACAACTGACAGAACACCATTAAGGAAACTTGGTGAAGTGAAATGGACATTATGAGAAACGGTGACTTGATCTGCATAGCCGTGTCTGTTAATGAACAACTTAATAATTATCCCTCTTAGTATTTTTTTGTCTGTTCTACTTAATATGACTGGTTTAATTCTGTAATTAATACACAGTTATTTTAAGTGTTGAAATTAACTGAAATGTGATCCCTGTTAAATATAAGAGTGGGAATAAGAGAGGGAAGAGATATACAATTTGGGACATGCTCAAGCTGACTTGCGCCAAATGGTAGAGTTGGAAACATACCAGGGGATTCCAATTCAATCCCATCAAGGTGGCATGTACCAATGCCATCTCACTAGTCCAAGTGATCAATTTCTGTTCACAATTGATCATAATGATAGGACTAAGAACCAAAGGGATCACATAAACAAGTCTCGTACCTGATAATACTAACAGATAGAATAAATAAAGGAGAGAGCGATCCAACATGGGAAGCAAGATACTCAGCAGACTCATAGAATGGCAGATGTCCTATATAGCACTCTGGCCTCAGAATCAGCCCTAAAGGCATTTGGATCTGGCTGAAAAGCCCATGAGAGTATTTCAGGCATGGAATGCCAAGACACTCTGGCAAAAAAAAAAGGACCTAAATGAAAGATCTCTGGGAGTGAGATCCCAGGGAAAGGAACAGGTCTTCAAAGAAGTTGGTACCTTTCTCTGAATGGAGGAGAGAACTTCCACTTTGACTACAACCTTATCTAAATAAGATAAGAGTCAGAGAACTCAAAAGGCTTCCATAGCCTTGGAAACTCATGACTGGTGCATAGGGAGATTACTGATGCCCTAAACAGGAGTGTCAATTTGTAAAGTCAACAACAGGAGTCACTGTGCACTTACTCCTCATGTAGGATCTCTGTCCTTAATGTGCTGTACATTTAGACTTAATGCTATAACGAGTACTCAAACCGTATATTTCACTTTGTGTTTCTATGTGGGAGCAAACTGTTGAAATCTTTACTTAATGTATACTAAACTGATCTTCTGTATATATAGAAAATTGAAAATGAATCTTGATATGAATGGAAGGGGAGAGAGAGTGGGAAAGGGGAGGGTTGCGGGTGGAATGGAAGTCATCGGGGTGGGGGGGGGGAGCCAATGTAGTCCATAAGCTGTACTTTGGAAATCTATATTCATTAAATAAAAGTTAAAAAAAAAAAAAACAAAACACAGTCCCACAGAAACACAGAAAAAAAAGCTGAAGACATCCATGTAATATGAGAAAAAAACAAAAACTAAATTATGAAGTTTATGATGCCATCTAAGATGATTTGCATTCCAGATAGAATGCTGGGTTCAACACTAGGCCCCACTCCTAACTCCAGCTTCCTGGCAATTCAGACTATTGGAGGAGCATTTGATGGCTCAATTGGCTGAGTTCATGGCACTCAGGTGGGATACCTAATTGAGTAACCACTTCTGGCTTGATTATAGGCATGGCTATGTGGTAATTTGGGGAGTGAACTAGTAGATGAGATCTCTCTCTCTCTCCCTCCCTTCCTCCCTACCTACCTCTTTGTGTGTGTGTGTATGTGTGTGTGTGGTATCTATCAAGACAGTTGACTTTCCCTTTAAAGAAAAAATTTAGAAAAATAAGTAAGGAAACCATAAGTTTAAGATGGATCTGTTTCCTTAAAGGAGTAAAGTGATAATTTTAATTTATTTATTTCAAGCATACATCCTAGATTGAGGAAGCCAAAAAGTAATTGCAGTCTTCCTTATCAAGAGTTTCAATGTAAAAAAAAAATTTCCTTTCTTGAGACATGACCAGCCAATATTTCAAATTGCTTTCCATATTTAACATACTTGAGCAAACTTTTTTTAGTTGATTCTATCATATTGTTCTGAACAACTATACCAAATAGTAAAATGTGTTTTAATAAAATTCAAAACTTACCCATATATTAAGCCAAGTCTCTCATCTTACAGATAAACAAATAAAAATGCAGGAGAGGTTTTCATTTTAGATGGCCAATTTGTACAGTGCAAATGTTACCATCAAATGATCAATAAACTTAATAGGTAAAGAGCTCACAAATTCATAGCTATAGACACCTCACAGTCCCCTCCAAAAGGGCATCTTGATTAAAAGTGGTCAGAATACATGGTAGAGAAAAGGACATTAGGATACCTGAGTTACTTGCTTCTCTGTCAGGCTTTCTAAACATTTACAGCGCTCTACATATTTAGACAATTTTTTTTACCCCGACAAGGTAGAGGATAATTTGGAAAGCCCTGGGAACTGTGTATTTGTGTGTATGTATGTGTTACCTACAGAAAACCTGATTTTCAATCTTTCACTTTGCTTAGAAGAGAGAATTATAAAACAGGGTAATTTGGAACCTGAAGTGATAATCAGACACATTGTGAGCAACACATCTCAGAGCAGTAGACCTGGTTGTGGAGGAAAATATGTCACAATTTCTCAAACAAAATCTAATAAACACAGAGAGAAAGCAAAGCAGAAACAAAGCCACACTCCACTAAGGAAAGTCAATATAAACAGCTATTATCAACAGTTGAAATTTTGTTAAACAAATCACTTCATGTTTGTGTATGTGCAGAATTATGTTACTGGCTGTATTTACTCAAAACAAATAAATCCATAAAGGAAGTAGACTCAACAAGGGAGAGCAATTTTTATAAACAGAGTGATTACAGAGAATAGTAAGTGAAAGCAACATTGTTGGGATATGCCTAGGATGACAAAACTGCACACAGCACCACTGGTGTCCAGCATTAGGCCCGGGCCTGGGGAACCTCAGACATATCAGTGAAGCTGAGCATGCAGATGGGAGCACCCACGAGGTGGGGTTCATGCCCCATAAGTGACTGATGGGTCATTGCTACCATATGCGTTTGCCAACTTTCCACCATGAAACGTTCTGCAATAGGAAACAGCATTCAGGCTATGGAGAAAACCTTCTTTCAAATAATAACGCTCAAAACTTACTTTCATGATTTCTGACTGGAAAATAAAGGAAACTGATTTGGGACAGGAGGGTACTAAATGAACTTTCATATCTGCACCAGACGCAGAACCATGCTGCACACAGAGCACAGATCCACACAAACTCCCCACTCCTCTCTCCAAATGGCCCCTCCCACCATGGGATCCAGCAACCAGACCTCAGGATGAAGGCTCCACCCACCCTGCAAGGTTTCCCAGGGCAGCATATTCAGGGGAGCACTGTGAGGTCAGTGATGTGGGGTAAGGGTCACCCACCATTGGTTTTTCTCAGCTCCTCCACCAGGCAGCGGGCCTCCTCTTGAACTCGGTCCTCAATGCTCCTCTTCTCCATCCCGAAATTCCGCAGGGTTATGAGCGAGAAGCGTCGCATCTCCTTCCATCTTTTTGCATTGCTGAAAGCGATTCCTGCCAGAATGAGAAACAGAAACTAGGAGGGAGGGAGATCCCAGCAAGTAGGAAGACGCTGACATGAGGCAGCCACACAGATGGCCAAGCTCTGTCTGGGGAGCTTTTCAAGTCTGTTTTCTAACCACTTCATCTCATTACCACTGTTTAACACACACACACACACACACACACACACACACTTACCGAGTCCCTTACTAACTTTATCAAGCATAGGAAAACTGCCTCTTCCAGCAAACTCCTCTCCAAGATCAACCAGGGCCTCCTTAACTGCCTCATATCCATGCAGCACCACAGCAGGCTTCATGCCCAGATACACAGTGAACACGGGGACATAGCGTTCTGAGAACTGGGAAGAGAAACAAATAGCACCAAAGAAACCACATGTCAGCCACAGAGTGTGTCTGATTCAGATGGAAATTAGCACTGTCTATGTTATCTCTTTATTCTGACGTGGATTCAAATAGTTTTATTTATAACTAAATATGATAGTTATTATTAGTCTGCCACTCATTAATGACCTATGATGACCCATACAATGGCCCAGGTAGTTGGTATGAGGTTTGCATGTAATTCTAAAATAATGCATTCAACAATTTAATTGTACTATTTTATAAATAAAGAAACTGGGACTAGAATTCAAAATTAATCTCCAGTTTCCTGCAGCCAGTAATTAGAGAGTACTTTCTGCCTATTCAAACTCTGTGGCTTGAAATCAATACCCAGATGACTTCAGGATCACATGGCAAGCTCTTCTCATGAGGATCCTGACAGAGTAGGGTCCCGATGTCACTAGTGTTGTATGTCCTTAAAAGTCACCCCAAGTAAGTCTAATGCCCAGCCCAGTTTCAAATCTACTGGCATATAAAAGACAGAAAGAGAACAAACAAGATGTCTTTTTCTGTGTGTCTCTTTCTGTAACTTTTCCTTCCAAATAAGTAAAATAAATCTTGTAAAAAAAAAAAAAAAGCTTCCACCCATGTGGGAGACCCAGGAAGAGTTCCTGGCTCCTGGCTCTGACCTGGCTCAGCCCTGATCACTACAGCACTTTGTGCAAACTGCAGATGGGATCTCTCTCTTCTTAAAGATTTATTTATTTATTTGAAGGAGTCAAAGAGGCAGAGAGAGACAGAAAGAAAGAGAGTGAAAGAGGTCTTCCATTCACTGATTCACTTATCAAATGGCCGCAATGGCTGGATCTGGGCCAATCTGAAGCCAGGAGCTTCTTTGGGTCTCCCATGCCAGTGAAGGGGCCCAAGTACGTGGGCCATCTTCTATTGCTTTCCGAAGTCATAGCAGACCATTTGGGATGCCAGCACTAGAGGCAGCGGCTTCACCTGCTATGCCACAGCCCCAGCCTGGCATCTCGTTTTTATGTTTGTTTAATTAAAACCCGAGTTGCAGAAAGTGGAGGAGAGCCGGGGGTGGGTTGGAGATATATAGAGACATCTTCAATCTGCTGTTTCACTCCCCAAATGCCATAGCGCTAGGGATAGGCCATGCTGATTCCAGAATCCAGGAGCTCCTTGCAGATTCCCACGTTGGTGCAGGGGCCCAAGAAATTTCACAATGCTCTGATGCTGTCCCAAGATAATTAGCAGTTAGCAGGATCAGATGTGAAGCAGCCTGGTCTTGAAAAGGCGCCCATATGTGATGCCGGCATCACAAGAGGAGGCTCAAGCTGATTAGCTGCAGTGCTGGTCAGGAGAGCTCTTGCTTTATCTCTACTTAGTTTCTGTAACTCTGTCTTTTGAGTAAATCGAATAAATCTTGAAGAAGAAGAAGAAGAAGAAGGAGGAGGAGGAGGAGGAGGAGGAGGAGGAAAAGTAGACAGAAGAGGAGGAGGAGAAGGAGGGAGGGGGAACAAGGGGGAGGAGAGGGTAAGAAGGAGGAGAAGCAGCAGGAAGAGGAGGAGGAGAAGGAAGAGAAGGAGTAGGAATAGAAGAAGAAGAGGAAGAAGAAGAAACAGCAACAGCACAAGAGGCAGGACCAGGGCATTGCAAGCAGCATTTCAGGGAGGAACAATTTTTCCATCCTGTAGCATTCTGGGCCACACAGCAGGGTTTCACAGAATCTAAAAGAATTCTGATGCCACCAGGTGGCCACTGAATGTTTACTTCTTTCTTTCATTCACCTAGACTACTCCAGAACCCATAGCTTAATACCAGTTTTTATTGATTCTGCAGAGAAGTTCAATTTCCATGGATATTCTGAAAAAAGAAACCACATGTATAATACAATAGATGATTTCTTGAATGAAATTTCTATCAGAAGCTCTTTACTTATCACTGATGTTCAGGCAAATGGATGAAAAGAAACAAAGGTCAGCAGTACTCCTGATTTTTGTCACTTAGTTATTTTTATTCTATCTACAGGGACCTAAATAGTTCTCTATTTAACTCCTGAAATTGGTAGAAGAAGCATCAAAGCTTACAGAGAGCGTTTTGATTTATAATCATCTGTTATAAGAATCTGAATCCAGAAATAAATTTTATTTTAAAAAGAGTCTGTGGGGAGCAACTCTGGACTAGACTAAGTTACTGGAATTAAGACTTATTCTATGCATCTGCTCTCCCACAATACGGCGCTGGGAGAGGAGGAAACAGCTTCTACACAGCTGCCTCCAGTTCAACCAATAAGCAGCAGGACCTGCTCCTGATTGGAGGAGAGCAGCATACTCAGCGTGTGGGTAGCAGAGTTGGGATTGGTGGAAGAGGACTATAAAGGAGGAGAGAGACAACATGCACCAGGAACATCTATCTGAAGAAACACCTGAGCAGCCCCTGAGAGAGCCAGCCAGCGGTGTGCTGCTCCCCCGCGGAAGTAGAGAAAGTGGCAGAGGGAACCGCCCTTCCACGGAGGTGGAAGGGACGGTAGCCAACCCGGGAAGAACCAACAGCAAACCCGGGGAGGGCCGAGCAGACGAAAGAACAACGCAGGGCCCTGTGTCGTTCCTCCACGAAGAGGGGGAGCGACATAATGGTGCCGTGACTCGGATATGAAGCCTAGGCAGGGTTTAGTGTCGTTCCTCCACGAAGACGGGGAGCGACAAGAGTCTATCTATTTTCCCTTAGCATGCCACAGAAAGAGCATAATGAATACTTACCTTAGTCAGGGGTTTACTGATGTCCTTAACATCTATCTGGAGAATATTTCCAATGATGGGGAAAGGAGTGGGGCCAGGAAGGAGCTTCCCTCTCCTAGAATTCTGCTTCCAGAGTGAAAGGAGAAGTAAACAGCAGAGCCCCAACACCAGGACCACAACTGGATCCATTCTCTTCTTCCTGGGATCCTGTGAGCTGGGAAGCACAGGCTTTATACCACTCTTGCTAATATGCTTCTCTGACGGGTCCAGCAACAATGCATTTTATCCTCTCTCCTGAGTGAACTTTGCCTCCATGACATACATGAAAAGAAGATATTCTTTAGTCGCATTGCATTCTTTCCTGTGCTCATTCTGGAAATGGTAATTTCATTTTACTGGGTTGTGCCCATGTATTGGTAATTGGAAAAAAAAAAAAAACAGATGGTTTCCATGTGCAGTCATGATAGAGAATTAATTATGTACAACAAAATCATGTCCAATTCTATTTCTGTGTTATAATGACCAGTTGAGAATTTATGACTAAAAGAAATCACAGTATGCTATGACATTTATAATGTATTATACAGGCATATACAATATATATGTGAGTGTGTCTTGAAGCTATGTCAAAAACTGAGACACTCTGTACTCAATGATGGCAATTATTCAAACATTTAATGTGCTCTACTAATATTATAAATAACTAAACATTAGAAAGTAACCATAAACCATAAATATTGAATGACCAGAAATGACCAAATCACTAGCTAAATCAATTGGCATAATTTTTGCCATTAAATTTTAAGGAAAACTTGAGAAAGCAGAGAATATTAATTTTAATTTTCAAATGAATAGAGATTCATAGGAAACAGAGGACATGGCCAGGGTCACAGGCTCACAAGTCACAGAAAGGAATTTGTGTTTTTATGTCCAATTTGGCTTGGAGAGTTGTTTTAAATAAAATTTAATTTAAGTTTGAAAACTTTATTTTTCTTTATTGGAAGGCAGAGAGTGAGAGAGCGAGCGAGAGAGAAAGAGACGGAGAGATTAGACAGGGTTAGAGAACAATTTCCTGTATCTTGCTTCACTCCCCCAAATTCCACTGAGAGCAAAGGCTGAGACAGGTCAAATCAGAAACCCAGAAGTCAATCCAATTTACCACATCGTTGAAAGGGGTCTAAGAGCTGAGAAATCTTCTAGTGCCCCCAAACCCTCCTGTATAGCACTAGCATAAACCAGTTCAAACAGTGAAACCAGGAATTAAACCCAAGCTTCTGACATTGAATGCCTGTGTCAAAAGCAGCAGCTGAAGTTCTACGTCACAGTGTCTATTCTGGGAGATTTCTATGAGATCTTCTGATGCCCATCTGTGTACTATGCCCTACACACAGGCAGCCTCCAGAGCAAGTTCAACAAACAAAGGAAACCTAAAATAAAATATTAGTGACTCTTAATAAACAACACACTATGTTCATAATAAAGCAGACATCACAACCAATAGGAACTCCTTTAATTGATGCCAAGGATAAAAAAATCACATGTGCTCACACGAACAGGAAAAGACAGGGTTCTTCCTGTTGATTCACTGTAGAGGTAAAATTTAGTCATTGAAACTAAGGAAAGAGACAATCTCAGAGAATTTGAGGGAAACTCTTGGGAAAGTGAAATTATCCTCACCTCATGTTCAACTCCAGCTAAGGATGATTCTGTTGGTTTGGGTCTGTCATGGTCTGAAATGAAAAGAGAAATAATGCAGTAATTCAGGGAAATAATAGAAAGAATGCACTTGCAGATGAAACAGAGGAGGAGAGGAAGGGAAATCATTCAATGGACCCACAGCTCAAAGAACCACAACTTGTTGACATGAACAGGAGGAGACACTGTGTTCACAGAAGGTAAACCTCAATGAAAGACAAACGTCACTAGATCACCAATGACTATACTTATACAAAGGCATGTTTTTACAGTATCATCAGATGTTTCTGTAAATTGGCTAGTGCTAT